GGCGTGCGCCCCACGGGCAGGGCAGAGCACGTCAGCGCCGCTTCCCCCCGGTCCAGTCCCTCCCAGTTAGGGGCGTGCGCCCCACGGGCAGGGCAGAGCACGTCAGCGCCGCTTCCCCCCGGTCCAGTCCCTCCCAGTTAGGGGCGTGCGCCCCACGGGCAGGGCAGAGCACGTCAGCGCCGCTTCCCCCCGGTCCAGTCCCTCCCAGTTAGGGGCGTGCGCCCCACGGGCAGGGCAGAGCACGTCAGCGCCGCTTCCCCCCGGTCCAGTCCCTCCCAGTTAGGGGCGTGCGCCCCACGGGCAGGGCAGAGCACGTCAGCGCCGCTTCCCCCCGGTCCAGTCCCTCCCAGTTAGGGGCGTGCGCCCCACGGGCAGGGCAGAGCACGTCAGCGCCGCTTCCCCCCGGTCCAGTCCCTCCCAGTTAGGGGCGTGCGCCCCACGGGCAGGGCAGAGCACGTCAGCGCCGCTTCCCCCCGGTCCAGTCCCTCCCAGTTAGGGGCGTGCGCCCCACGGGCAGGGCAGAGCACGTCAGCGCCGCTTCCCCCCGGTCCAGTCCCTCCCAGTTAGGGGCGTGCGCCCCACGGGCAGGGCAGAGCACGTCAGCGCCGCTTCCCCCCGGTCCAGTCCCTCCCAGTTAGGGGCGTGCGCCCCACGGGCAGGGCAGAGCACGTCAGCGCCGCTTCCCCCCGGTCCAGTCCCTCCCAGTTAGGGGCGTGCGCCCCACGGGCAGGGCAGAGCACGTCAGCGCCGCTTCCCCCCGGTCCAGTCCCTCCCAGTTAGGGGCGTGCGCCCCACGGGCAGGGCAGAGCACGTCAGCGCCGCTTCCCCCCGGTCCAGTCCCTCCCAGTTAGGGGCGTGCGCCCCACGGGCAGGGCAGAGCACGTCAGCGCCGCTTCCCCCCGGTCCAGTCCCTCCCAGTTAGGGGCGTGCGCCCCACGGGCAGGGCAGAGCACGTCAGCGCCGCTTCCCCCCGGTCCAGTCCCTCCCAGTTAGGGGCGTGCGCCCCACGGGCAGGGCAGAGCACGTCAGCGCCGCTTCCCCCCGGTCCAGTCCCTCCCAGTTAGGGGCGTGCGCCCCACGGGCAGGGCAGAGCACGTCAGCGCCGCTTCCCCCCGGTCCAGTCCCTCCCAGTTAGGGGCGTGCGCCCCACGGGCAGGGCAGAGCACGTCAGCGCCGCTTCCCCCCGGTCCAGTCCCTCCCAGTTAGGGGCGTGCGCCCCACGGGCAGGGCAGAGCACGTCAGCGCCGCTTCCCCCCGGTCCAGTCCCTCCCAGTTAGGGGCGTGCGCCCCACGGGCAGGGCAGAGCACGTCAGCGCCGCTTCCCCCCGGTCCAGTCCCTCCCAGTTAGGGGCGTGCGCCCCACGGGCAGGGCAGAGCACGTCAGCGCCGCTTCCCCCCGGTCCAGTCCCTCCCAGTTAGGGGCGTGCGCCCCACGGGCAGGGCAGAGCACGTCAGCGCCGCTTCCCCCCGGTCCAGTCCCTCCCAGTTAGGGGCGTGCGCCCCACGGGCAGGGCAGAGCACGTCAGCGCCGCTTCCCCCCGGTCCAGTCCCTCCCAGTTAGGGGCGTGCGCCCCACGGGCAGGGCAGAGCACGTCAGCGCCGCTTCCCCCCGGTCCAGTCCCTCCCAGTTAGGGGCGTGCGCCCCACGGGCAGGGCAGAGCACGTCAGCGCCGCTTCCCCCCGGTCCAGTCCCTCCCAGTTAGGGGCGTGCGCCCCACGGGCAGGGCAGAGCACGTCAGCGCCGCTTCCCCCCGGTCCAGTCCCTCCCAGTTAGGGGCGTGCGCCCCACGGGCAGGGCAGAGCACGTCAGCGCCGCTTCCCCCCGGTCCAGTCCCTCCCAGTTAGGGGCGTGCGCCCCACGGGCAGGGCAGAGCACGTCAGCGCCGCTTCCCCCCGGTCCAGTCCCTCCCAGTTAGGGGCGTGCGCCCCACGGGCAGGGCAGAGCACGTCAGCGCCGCTTCCCCCCGGTCCAGTCCCTCCCAGTTAGGGGCGTGCGCCCCACGGGCAGGGCAGAGCACGTCAGCGCCGCTTCCCCCCGGTCCAGTCCCTCCCAGTTAGGGGCGTGCGCCCCACGGGCAGGGCAGAGCACGTCAGCGCCGCTTCCCCCCGGTCCAGTCCCTCCCAGTTAGGGGCGTGCGCCCCACGGGCAGGGCAGAGCACGTCAGCGCCGCTTCCCCCCGGTCCAGTCCCTCCCAGTTAGGGGCGTGCGCCCCACGGGCAGGGCAGAGCACGTCAGCGCCGCTTCCCCCCGGTCCAGTCCCTCCCAGTTAGGGGCGTGCGCCCCACGGGCAGGGCAGAGCACGTCAGCGCCGCTTCCCCCCGGTCCAGTCCCTCCCAGTTAGGGGCGTGCGCCCCACGGGCAGGGCAGAGCACGTCAGCGCCGCTTCCCCCCGGTCCAGTCCCTCCCAGTTAGGGGCGTGCGCCCCACGGGCAGGGCAGAGCACGTCAGCGCCGCTTCCCCCCGGTCCAGTCCCTCCCAGTTAGGGGCGTGCGCCCCACGGGCAGGGCAGAGCACGTCAGCGCCGCTTCCCCCCGGTCCAGTCCCTCCCAGTTAGGGGCGTGCGCCCCACGGGCAGGGCAGAGCACGTCAGCGCCGCTTCCCCCCGGTCCAGTCCCTCCCAGTTAGGGGCGTGCGCCCCACGGGCAGGGCAGAGCACGTCAGCGCCGCTTCCCCCCGGTCCAGTCCCTCCCAGTTAGGGGCGTGCGCCCCACGGGCAGGGCAGAGCACGTCAGCGCCGCTTCCCCCCGGTCCAGTCCCTCCCAGTTAGGGGCGTGCGCCCCACGGGCAGGGCAGAGCACGTCAGCGCCGCTTCCCCCCGGTCCAGTCCCTCCCAGTTAGGGGCGTGCGCCCCACGGGCAGGGCAGAGCACGTCAGCGCCGCTTCCCCCCGGTCCAGTCCCTCCCAGTTAGGGGCGTGCGCCCCACGGGCAGGGCAGAGCACGTCAGCGCCGCTTCCCCCCGGTCCAGTCCCTCCCAGTTAGGGGCGTGCGCCCCACGGGCAGGGCAGAGCACGTCAGCGCCGCTTCCCCCCGGTCCAGTCCCTCCCAGTTAGGGGCGTGCGCCCCACGGGCAGGGCAGAGCACGTCAGCGCCGCTTCCCCCCGGTCCAGTCCCTCCCAGTTAGGGGCGTGCGCCCCACGGGCAGGGCAGAGCACGTCAGCGCCGCTTCCCCCCGGTCCAGTCCCTCCCAGTTAGGGGCGTGCGCCCCACGGGCAGGGCAGAGCACGTCAGCGCCGCTTCCCCCCGGTCCAGTCCCTCCCAGTTAGGGGCGTGCGCCCCACGGGCAGGGCAGAGCACGTCAGCGCCGCTTCCCCCCGGTCCAGTCCCTCCCAGTTAGGGGCGTGCGCCCCACGGGCAGGGCAGAGCACGTCAGCGCCGCTTCCCCCCGGTCCAGTCCCTCCCAGTTAGGGGCGTGCGCCCCACGGGCAGGGCAGAGCACGTCAGCGCCGCTTCCCCCCGGTCCAGTCCCTCCCAGTTAGGGGCGTGCGCCCCACGGGCAGGGCAGAGCACGTCAGCGCCGCTTCCCCCCGGTCCAGTCCCTCCCAGTTAGGGGCGTGCGCCCCACGGGCAGGGCAGAGCACGTCAGCGCCGCTTCCCCCCGGTCCAGTCCCTCCCAGTTAGGGGCGTGCGCCCCACGGGCAGGGCAGAGCACGTCAGCGCCGCTTCCCCCCGGTTCAGTCCCTCCCGGTTAGGGGCGTGCGCCCCGCGGGCAGTGCAGAGCACGTCAGCGCCGCTTGCCCGCGGTCCAGTCACTTCCCTCCCTTCTGGTTAGGGGCGTGCGCCCCACGGGCAGTGCAGAGCACGTCAGCGCCGCTTCCCCCCCGTCCAGTCCCTCCCCG